CAATTTCCAGGAGATGCAGTGGCATATTTCAGCGCAGATTCTATTGAGATGGACCCTGGGAAGGAGGGAGTTGTGGATGCTGATTATTCTACTGAGTTTTTGAACAACCTCAAGATTGGAAACTTTCCAGACCATCAGCTGGAACTGAAAGTTGGGTGTCCAGTCATTCTATTACGGAATATGGATCAAACTGTTGGCCTTTGTAATGGTACTAGAATGGTTGTGAAGACTTTGGGTAAATGGTTCATTGAGGTGGAGATTTTGACAGGTACCAATGTAGGTGATCGCGTCTTCCTCCCCAGATTGACATTATCAACCCATTACAAGAGTCTTAATTTCACCCTCATTAGAAGGCAATACCCTGTCGCTCTTTGTTTTGCCATGACTATTAACAAAAGTCAGGGTCAAACACTAGCCAATGTTGGTTTATGTCTTCAAAGACAAGTTTTCAGTCATGGTCAGCTATATGTTGCATTGTCAAGAGTTACTACAAGGTAAGGATTGAAGATTTTGAGTGCCAATGAGAATGGAGAGGAAGGCACTTCAATGGTGAACATAGTATTCCCAGAAATATTTGATTGATTTATATGAACTTCAATTCAGGTTTTACTTATGATTACAGTTTATTTTTTTGGTGGACAATTGTTAGGCGTGATGTTTTGCTATTTATTTTTTTGACCACAAATTCCCTAGCAATAACATTTTGGTATACGCTTTTGTATTCTTTCACAATTATTTCCTTTTACTTTTAAACAAAATCTATTTACTATCGTTTTCAAAGCTATGTTAACTATCATCATGTAAAAAAAAACTAATGATATCCATATGTAAAATATTCTAATGGATTTAAAAATACAACTTATCCAATGGACTAAATGTTTTTAAGCATTGAGATTATGTATCTGGCCACTGATGAAAAGAAAAGTTTGTACTCATAGATTACTCAAGAGATCTTACGATTTTAGGAAAACATTAATACATTTGTAGAATTTACAATTCTGTTATTACCAATATTATATATACAATTACACTTTAACATCTTTAAAAGACTAAATTTTAAATGATTAATGTTAAATGGAAAAATGGGCTCATTTCCTATGCGGCTCATGAATTAATGGGGCCCAGGGTTTTGCCAAAACCCATAGCAAATGACTACACACAGGCGGCCCGAGACATTCCAAATTGACCTTTCTAAATTGGGCCTGTGGGGTTTTTTTTTTTTGTTTGGGCGGCTTCCTAGCTGCATTGGCAGCGAGTTCCAACCCTAGAGTCTAGAGTACAACAATTTAAAAGGAATTAACAAAGAGCAAGGAAGGTGAAAGTAAACAAAGAGCAAAATTATATGATGATCAAAATATGGTTACATGAAGTACCACCTCAAAAAGATAATAAACTTACAAAAAATATTTGCGTTCACATATCCATTACGCTGTTAGATCATTAGAGATTACAGAGAGGTGGACCATTACTAAAATTAATCCGATTATATTAATAATACCCTATGCTACTTAGTTATCTAAAGCCGGGAACAACTTAACCAAGAAGCGATCAAGATGATTCCCCACGTCGTTCCAAGGTCCGAATGTGACCAAGACCTTATATGGCGTCTCACCAATCATGTTGAGTAGTGTAACGTACTCCGCATCTTCAATCTCAGCAGGACTAACAACAGAAGACATGATTCTCCGTAAGTAAGCTGATGGGAATACGACCTCAACATCGGTGATATCATCTTCAATTGTCAAGTGAATCAAATATATGCTGGATGCCTCACACCAAGATCTCCTCAATTCTGTTACCACGCCAGAGAAAATGTATGACTTGCCCTGATACAAACCAAAACATAAGGAGTTCAAAATAAGACCAAATTAGATGCAAATTCTTGAGATAAAAGATAGATAAGGATAGATAAAAAAACATGTTATCTTATTCACCTGATTACCAACATTCAATTGCATGGGGATAAGATCTATAGTTTCCACAGTGTCCCAAATTGCAACGGCAGTTTGATAGTTCAGATTTGTAACGAAGTCTCCCATGGTAAAAAACCTATAATTTAGATTAGTAGCAATATTAGCAACTATATCGACAAATGTTAGAGGTGTAAAACTAATCAACTAATTATGTAAAACCGAATATACACAAACAATAGCAAAGCAATACATGAATGTGTCAATCCTTCGATGTATTTTACAATTGGACCTATATTTGACTTCTTTTGACGTTTTCTTCTTTGATTTTTAACTGGAATTTTTTAACTCAACTCTACTACGTATTATACAAACATACAAAGTTTAGTTGGACTGCAAGACACACTATGTAATCAGAACCAACCTAAATAATTTTGACATATATGTCCTAAACTATGGATCAATGCTATGCTAAAATCAAAGAAAGAACTATTAATCATGTCCATAAATTGAATAGGCAAACCGCATTAGTTCAGAAAGGATGGATTCTAACTCACCTGTGGAGGTCGCAAGTATTTACTTGGAGTCTCGAACTCAAAAAAAATTCTGAATGCTAAGATTGTAGTAGATCTGGAGAAACCTAAGTTGAAGGCTAGCCGGCGAATGTAATTTATGAGTGGGCTGGAAAAATTTGTTGAAGTTGTTGATGAGAGGAAAGGACAGATTTTTCCGAGGTAGGGTTTTAGAAATTACCTCCTGGAGATGCTGAGATAGGACTAACGTCGGTCAGGCAGAGAGAAGGACTGGAAAATGAGTGCATGCACTGGATTGGTTGTCCATTTGCTTTGTTCGTCGCAGAGTGAGCAGAGCAGCGGAAGGCGTAAGGGAGGAAGGGAGTTGAAACGTCTTCGGCTGGGTTTTTCCGAGGTAGGACTTTAGAACTTACCTCCTGGAGATGCAGAGATGGGACTAATGTCGGTCAGGCAGAGAGGGCTGGAACATGAGTGCATGCAATGGCTTGGTTGTACATTTGCTTTTTTCGCCGGAGAGTGAATACTGACGTGGTGACTCGGTGCCGTTGTCGGAGTCCGCGCGAGCGGTGAATTGACGGCAGGGTTGTTCGAAGAGGGAGAAGAAGCGAGAGTGGTGGGAGGGTAGGGTTTTGCGGAGGGAGAGGGAAGAAGGAGAAGAAGAAGATAGAGGGTTGGGGATGTGGATGGTCAGGTTTCTGTTGAGGGACTGGAGGGTAGGTGAGAGCGGTGGAAGAGGGAAGGGAAGAAGGGAGTTGAAACGTCTTCGGGTGGGTGGGTTTTTTTTTTTTTTGTTTGATCCAAACGTGACTAGGGCTGTCCATTTGGTTTTGGTTTTTTGGTTTTAACCAAATCCAAACCAATTGGAAAGCTAATGGTTTCAGTTTTTTGGTTTTAAACCACTAAGCAACTTAATGGTTTTGGTTTGGTTAAAACCAAAACACCAATAGAAACCATTAAGAAACCAATAAGAATAAAATTATTTATCAAAGTGGTATTAATTTATTTTATCAATGTACCAAACCTAGCTCACTCATTGTCAATTGATTCATTTTTATGAGAAAATGACACACCTAATTTCAACTCCTCCTTCCAACCAACAAACCGCTGCTGAAAGGGATCGTCTTAATCAACGTAGTCCCGCGACTCATTTGTTAGTACATTAAATTAAATTTTAATGTGTTACAAAATCATAATAATTTGATCTGTATATTTCAATTGCAGAAATACTCACCCTTCAAGCACAAGTGCACCATATTGATCGCTTGATTTCTCAATTCTATCGAAAACGATGACGGGAGATTTTGAACACGCGCTTGCGTCGTACTGTTCAACATATTCCACATGGTAATCTTAGCATCTTTTAAAATGGGGAAACACAATTGAATGGCACATGCAATAATATATTATTTAGTTTTCGTTAGGTTTGCTACTTCTAAGTGGAATTGTAAGCAAAATAACCATACAATTTGTTATTATTATTATTACTTTTTTCGTTGATTTCAATTTGTTATTTAGAGATGCTGACGTGGAAGCCTTATTTTTGTTTATGCCTAATGTGGCAGGGGTTGAATTCCAAAAACCCTTTACTCTGAGAAAAACGTCATTGGGACGAATGCATTGCACCATCCCAATTAAATCTTGCCGTGTGTTAAATTTAAATTAACGAAAGATAATTTTCTTTTATTATAGTCTAATTGATCAATAAAAATCAAATGATAAATGAATTGGCAGAAAAGTGCCAAAGCCCATTTCACTCTCCCAAATTTTATTGCCGCCAGTGGAAGGGGAAAAGTTCAGTTTAGGATATGTGATTTTGTCTTTATACTTCTCTAAGGTAGATAGATATATAAATGGACCCATTCTAAATAACCAAGTCAAAAACATATTTCACATGGGCCTGTTACACATTACGGGCCATCTATAGCCCACAACAAGATCTCATATGTGAATGTCGTTTCGCAAAACAACAGTGGAGTAGGTTTCGGTCCACATGTTGAAGCTAAATCGACTACCACCGTCGACTCACATCTCTCCCAACCTTTCCGGTGGCCATTTATAATATCATCACACGCTCCACCGCCATTCTGAACGCCAGGCGCAGCCACCTAGCTGTTTATGAATCAAGCTCGCCTGTAGATAGGGATTCCCATTGCTGCCGGAACCGGGAACAGCACAATCCCTCCAGTTGATTGTTTTCAGTGTATGCCTAGGTTGGTGTATTTGAAATCAGAGAATAACCGCCATAGTTAAAAAATTCCCTCTCCGAATCCTGAGTTCCACATCCTCTTGGCAACTGACGCAGGCCGCGCTCTCAGTAACCGCCCCGTAGATGTTTCCAGTCGTGGGCAACGTGGGTTGTTTGGTAACTGTCACCACAGCAATGGGCGGCCTTTATCTACTTCAAGTTCCCCGATTCAGCTCAGTATTCATATTGCTCTCTGTCAAGTTACCAGGTACCTGTTCTCCTCTTAAAATCTCCATTTGTTTCCTACCGTCAAACCAGCTTAGTTCCCCAGGTTTATAACTATTTACCACATGTTCGTTTGCTAGGTAGAAGATGGATTTCAATGGCATGCGAGATCTTGAGTCTGAGAAACAAATATGTGCAGGCCATTGTCGCGTCTCTAGGCTTTGGCTTGGTGCAAGTGTCACGACAGACAAAGTCCTGCATTTAGACATGATATTGATGGATTCCAAGGTACGTATGTTCTATAAAGTTATCTTCTTTTCTTCACTGATCTTACAAGAGAAATGATTTCATTTATATTTTGGTTTCAATATTGTCAGGGAAATGATATATGGGTCCACATCCCACCGGTGTTGCAAGAGCATTTCAAGGCACTGCTGCAGGAACAAGAAGTTTACATCATCAAGGACTACGAAATTCACACGACCCAACTCAAATATCGCCCCATTGCCAATTCATATATCATGACTTTTAATCGGACGACTACTGTCCAACGTGTTCCTGACATCCCTTCCATTCCTACCTTCAAGTTCAGTTTCACTAAAGCAAGTGAGATGAAGGATAAATTGGGACAAATCATCATCCTCTCAGGTAACTTCCTTCTTCATTATGAATGGTTGCTGCTGCTTATGGTATTAATTGGTTCTAATGTTAATTCCCTCTTTTCTATCGTAGATGTTGTTGGCGAATTGGTGAAGCACTCAAATCTCCTGACCACAACCAATCTTTCTCGGAAAACCACTAGAAAGGAACTTGAGCTTAAACTGATTGAGTAAATTCCTACCACCCTTACACTTGGAAGAGCATGACTAAGTGTTGAATCTGATCATAAGTTTTGATTGTTTGCTGTGTACAACTCCAATTTCTGTTAGCATTTTGAGGCAAATAATATTTGTTAGCTTATTTGCACAAACGAATCTAGCTAGACATCCTAATAAAGACAAATAATTTGTATTGGTTAATACTCATATATCATGATTTAGCTAGCTTTTGTGTTCAACACTTTCATGGCCCTGTGTTTGGTCCTATGGACTTGATTATGCTTGATATCTAATGAAATTAGCTACTCTGACGTTATTCCAATATGTGGTACCATGTTGTCAAGAAGAGTTTCTTTGTTATAAAGTTGGATTTAATTGTTTTTCTTGCTTAATTGTTTTATGGCCCACTATGTACTGCTGTGAACTACATGATCATAATAAGTAAAGTGTTTAGATGTCTCAAATCATTTAGGTTTTGAAATACTTTTTCCTTGCTCAACTATGTGGTGATTGTGGATCTGCTATGACTTAGTTGACGGGAAGGGTGGCAAGCTTTGTTTAATTTTTTGAATACTGTTTTTGCTGGGAAGTTGTGTGTGGCAGTATGAAGAACAGGTCCCTTCTGCATTTTGTTTATCTGGTGTTAGCAGCACTTTATTGTATTATCTTCTTTGTAGTTTAGTTATTCATTACATATGTCCTGAAAATGTTTCTAAACTTTTGTGCAGAGGTGATGTTGTGAAAGTTGTTATCTGGGGTAGAGTTATAACTGAATTTGATAAAATAGTCAAACCTGCTGGTGATCAACCAATAATTCTGGTAGTCACTGCTGTTTCTGTGAATCTATTCAAGAGTAAGCATATTATTCAATTCAGGCAACTGAAATTTTTGGTATTTGTTATGGATAGAAAGAAATTGACTTGGCCTTTATAGGTCAACTTTTCTTTTCTTCTTCTGGGTCAACAATCCTATATCCTAACCTTAACCTTGATATACCAGAAGTGAAGGCTTTCACAACAAGGTATTGTTACTAATTCCTACGTCCTACTCAATATTTGCACTATATTGTTAAGTCAGTTTTCATTGAAGTGTTTATTTCCTTTCTTGAAGAGATGTACAACCAGAGCAGCCCCTGTATGTTGAGCTGCCCCCACCTGCCCCCATTCCTGAACTTTCGCTGCCTGAATTGCTGGGATTACATGTGGATCCGGACAGCGAGGTGATATTAAATTTTGTTCTTGAATCTTATACATTTCCAACTTATTGTTACATACTAACTCAAATCAGCATTTATTAGGAAGGTGTTTATTCTGTTACTTGCAAAATAGTGGGGATCAAGCCATTTTGGTGTTACTTGGGTTGCCCAACCTGTGTCCTTAAACCCATAGAAAAGAATGGAGAATACTACTGTGTGAAATGCAACAAGCTGACTCCAATTAGAGCTGCCAAGTAAAGTTCCTTTGTTTTTGTTGCCTCAAACTGACTGTCATATGAAAACTACATTCTTTTTTAAACTAAGTGGCCTTCTTTCGTTTCTGTGCTTTCAGATATCGGATTCAGCTTGAGGTTGAAGCCAATTCAAAGTCAGCAACCTTTATAATTTTCGAGTATGAAGGGAAACGATTCTTTGGCCCAACTGCTAATGAACTATTCAATAGAACTGGTCAAAACTATGAAGAACCCCCTGCAGATCTGCTCAAAGTAGTTGGTGTCACCAAGCTGTTCCATGTGAAGTTCAAGCCAAATCTATACAGTGATGCTCAACCCGATTTCACAGTGTTAAAAATTTTGGAGCCTGAAGCAACGGTAAGCTTTCTTATAAGACCTGGATATTTTTTTATGATGTTAAGCTTGCATTTTTTCTCCCAGTAGACCCAACACATGTCTGTTTGACATGAATGCTAATTAGATCACTAAGTTCTGCAGGCCATAATTAATGTAAATACTTTTTGTTTCTTACCACCATTTATATCGCAGAGTTCGGAGTCTAATCTGCACAAAGCAGCTCCTCCTCATCACTTAGTAGTGGACTTGAGTCATCCCAAACTTCATCTGACCAATCCATCCCCATTTCAACAGCTGAAGATACTGGTTCTATGCCTCCTGACAACAAACTCAAGCGAAAGATGCCTTTGGTGTGATGGTGCTTCCTTGGAACTTGCAAGGCCACTGATTTCTTTGTTGCTAAGTGGCCTTTCACTTTGATTTATAAATAGAATATCCCACCATCTGTTTGTTTCTATGTTGATTTCTATGTATCCAAACAATTGTTGTTTCCTTACTCCCTTTGCTGTGTCTGAAGTTTTTTTCCTTTGATGTGTCTCAAGTTTGCAACATTGACTCTTTATTTCAAGGAGTTTATGGCTTTCCGTTTATTGTAAGTACCTCTTGGTTTGATAATTTGAGTGGATGGATTATTGCTTTTCTCATTCAAGCACCATCAATCAAATAGTGTGGTCTTTTCATTTTTCTTTCATTTCATTAAATGGAAAACAGTTTTCAATAGGGGTATGAGGATTCTATGGATAATCTCAGCCAGCTCATGTTTCATTAGTAGTTTGATAAATTTGTAGTCCTTAATGAATTCGATTGTTTCAATGAAGAATAAATCCACCTCCGACCCTGGTCACGAACCCAAATCTTATGTACCAACTGTGGCTACTTCTGAGATTGATAAACTGAAAATATAATCTCAATCCAACATTTCCCATTCAAACTTAAGTACCTTCCTAATATTATAATGATACATTAGATTCTTCTTCCGTGAAATTAGTACCCAATTTGGGTCGACAATGGGCTCATCGTCCTGTGATAGGCCTTGAGGTGTACAATGAAAAAACACAGGCTGCCTTTGATTGAAAGTAATGGAAATCCATCACAGGGTAGTGTTGATTTGCCAATGGTCGGTCGCAGAAGTCATGACTGCAGAGCAAACCCACAAAGCCCAGTTTCGTTTGTTGTTCGTTTATCGGCGGTGAGTAGAATCATACTTGAACATGTAAGCCTGAATATAATGAATAAAATATAGTGAATTAGAATTTATTTTCAAACAAAATGAAAAGATGTGCTTTGTTTTCAGATTTCAATGCGGGAACAACTATACTCATGCCAATTCATCGTCAAATTTAAAATGAAACATATTAAAATACATTTCAGATAACAATCCAGTATAATTAAACAACTTCTACATCACCAAAGTTCATTTTCATTTGGCATATAGGGAACAGAAATGTTAATAGTTACTAAGGCATCTCTTACCATGTACTTAACATCAATGAAAGGATCATTGACTGCTTCCATTTTCACATCATGCCTAGATCGATGTTGCAATATGCAGAACCATACTTACGATTCGACCAAACCCTGCATTAGCCCAGTCACACTATTAGTTAGAATCCAGACAACTCTTAGGGAAAAGAAATGTTAATAGTTACTAAGCCAACTCTTACCATGTACTGCCACTTTCTCTGACCAACATGGCCTGCCACTTTTCTATTAAAATATATTATAAACACAAATAATAAGTCCCTAACTTCCATTATCACCACGTTCTTCCACTATGCCACTCATTCTCAAGCTTAACCGAACTTCCTTTCCTGCAAGTCTATATAAGGAACACTTCCAGCCCGTGAAAAGGTTTGCTGCCATCCAAAATACTTACTCTTTTCCATCGTGCGGTATCAGTGATGGCTCTCCGCAATTTATCCCAATTGAACGTACATGATGATGACCAAGCTGTTCGCGTCAGGCTCCTGCGTTTATGGCATACAATGAGGCCTGATGGTGTAACACTTGACCAAATCCACATGTTGTTTCTCGACAACCAGGTACTTTGATTTTCTAAGCCTTCTATTCTTTACATGAGTGGGAAGTACACTATTCAATACTAAAAATACTCAATGATTTTTTACTTTGACTTTTAGGGAACGGAGATGCAGGCCTTAGTTGATATTCTTAATGTTCAGTTGTTTGCTCCTGTTCTTCACGTGGGAAGGATCTATTTCTTGAGCAACTTTTTGGTCCAAGAATATGATGATACTTATAGAGTTTCTCCTGCAACTATCCGAATCCGCTTTCACAATGACACGGTGATTGAGGAACTCCGGAATGCAGCCGACATACCAACATACAGCTTTCGGTTTTTGGCTGCTCAGGATCTTCCCTTTGCTGTCCATAACCATGAATATTTGTCTGGTATTTCTAATTCAAATGAAATATTTATTTGGCCAGTTTGGTTTTCATATTGTGTTCCTAACGATATGTTTGGGATCAGATTTAATTGGGGAGGTCGAAACTGTTGCACAAGAAGAGGTCCTGTTCGAAGATGCTGCTATTTTAAGGCGAAAGGGAGTGCAGCTTAAATTGATTGAGTCAGTTGGTTGCTGTTTTGTACAGGCTACATTTGAAGTGTGCTTACCGTATGCAGACCATTCATTCTTCTCTTTCTTTTTTAAATTTTAGGGGACCTATAGTTGATGTCGTCTTATGGGATGATCTAATTGACGAATTTCAAGCTGTGCCGCCTAATGATCCTTTACCAGGAACAGTAGTTGTCTTCACTTCCGTTGTTGTCCGCCACTTCGCAGGTATGATGACTCGGTATTTGCACATGTTTTCCCCTTTGTTTCTTGATTGTTTCAGCTTGAATTATCGTGTCTTTGGCCTATTTTATGCTAGGTTGTGTTCCTTTGTCACATTTCAGGTCCTAGCACATAAAGTGAAGCATAGGCGCAAGTTTCAAGTCAATCAGAGATCAATTGACGATTCGGGAGAAGAAACTCGGCCATGACCTGAAGAAGAATGGATTTCTACCTCACTTTATGGACAAAGAATCATGCAAGCTTGTTATGAAAAGAAAGAGGACGAGACTACGAGCGTCTGGGATCAAACGGCGACTGAATCGGAGGTCAAACGAGCTCAAACGAGATCAACGAAGCTTAGGAGTGCATGCTGGAAATTGTGCACGGCCAGAACCTCAATTTGCACGGCCGTGCAAGTAGGGGGTGCGAGTTTCAGCGGGTATAAAAGCTGTTTTGCGATTTTTGGAGAGAGAGAGCTGGGTTTTGGATCCCAAACACCCAAGGGACGAACCCTAGAGAGAGAGAGCGACTTGGGAACATTCTTGGAGCTATTTTGGAGGATTTCTTCGCCATTGGAGCTCGGGAATCAAGCTTGGAGATGGAGATTGAAGATCTAGATCAGATTTCTGCAGTCTCTCTCTTCTCTATGGAGTAACTTCCCTTCACTTAGGTTTTGAGGAACCCTAGCTATGTTTGTTTGATTGGATGATTGTATGAGTACTCTGACTTGATAATCTTGAGTTCATATTCAATCTATGCATGTTTTCACGATTCAATTCTGCTTTAGTCGAGATTATTGATTATGCTTTGATCCTATGAGAGCGAATACCTGATTAGGTCAATAGAGCACCATAGATTGATAGTAGTGGATCGATTGCTTTAGTCGAGGGTTGATTCACTGCTTTGTATCGATTGAGAACCTCATTCGATAGAGGGAGTCTAGTTCAGAACGCCTTGATCGATTGTTCTAGAGAAGGATACGTCCCTCTAGGCAATTGACTCAAGAGGGCCTTGTTCCTTTAGTCGAGACTCAAGGTCTAGTTAAGGATTCTCCGCATTGTGAATGAAAGTGAAACAAGTTAGAGATAATCAATCGTTAATCTGGCTAGTGGCTAGGGGGAATCATACCTAAGTGAGTTCCCAACCTGTAATTAGATTAACTTTAACTGTAGTTTGCTAGAGTAGTTTTAGTTCTTTCATCTTAATCTGTTTTGCTAGATAATGAACTGAAGCTGAGTAATAGTAACTCTAGAGACCCGTGGATTCGATATTTATTACTTGAGCCACTATACTGCAGTCCCTTTCATTGGTTACACTTGGCCATTGTTAGGAGTTCTGTTTTAGCGAGTCAAGTTTTTGGCGCCGTTGCCGGGGACTTTCTAGAGTATTAGGAAAGGAAGAAGTTTGTTACTTTAGCGTTTTTCTTTTCTTTTCCACCCTTGCTTTTCACTTGGGTGTTTTTGTTTTTGTTGGTGCAGATCTGAATCATGGATCCTCATGGCTTCTCCAACCATTGGGGGTATCCACCACCATCCGAGTGGTATTACCCCGAGACCCCCTGGAGCAACCAAGGAGGAGAAGACTATGGATCCGGGTTCCAGTACCAACCCCCTTTCTATGGAGAACAATCTGACCCCTGGGCATATCAAGAAAAATCTCATTACCAAGAAGACTTTCTCCCACAACCAGAAGGGCCATCGGCGCTGGAGTTACCCATGGCGGCCTTCACGGGCCATTCTGCAGAGCCATGCTACACTCCACAGCCAGATCCAAACTATGAACTGAGGCTTCTCCTGGAGCAGTTTGTTCGGGACTCCGAGAGACGCAATCGCAAGATGGACCTCCTTTTCTCATCCTTTGCTCCTCCTAATTCTTCATCCCTCCGTGAATCGGAGGAGAACGTTTCGCACTCATCAAAGCAACCAGAGCGGATTGAGCAAGTTTGTGCACAACTTGCTCAAGATCACCCGTCTGCTACCATACTTGAAGAGGACGAGGAAGAAGAAGGCTACAAGGACATTGTGGAGCAAACAGAAGTTATCACGGAGAGCTCCCGTGAAGATCATGATCAAGAATGTCCTATCGTAGCCGACTACCCCTTTCCACATCCCCCACTGAGCTTTGAAGAGGTGGGCATGAGTGAGGAGATGCAAGAAGATCTCATGAGAGAAATTGCTTGGCAACTTGCTCTCCAATCCGTGCTAGAAGAAGAAGAGCAAGCAAGGG